TGGTGGTGTGGGTTTGGAAATAACTGGAGGCTTTTTTGGGGGGGGGGGAACCGGAGGAGGAGGGGGTTTGGGGAAGGGAGGGACTTCAGTGGATTATAGTGCCATAGAGTCCACCTTCCAAAGCAGGTAGCCCAGAGATCGGTTGTAATAGCAGGAGGTCTCCGCCCTCCCCGAAGGCTAACAACCAACAACTGTGTACAGAGAAAAAACGATAAACGCAACGAATTGAAATTATATAAAGTATATATTGATTACTTCAAGAAATAAGACCTAAACATCGATACGTATAATCTACAAATTAATTCAAGAAACGAATGTTGTATGCAATGCCTGTCCTGAAGGCATTGCACTGGCTGCCAATAGCATAGTGGATTCGCTTCAAGGTGCTGGTTCTTACCTTTAGAGCTCTTTATGGCCGGGGTCCGACACACCTGAGGGACTGCCTTTCCCCATATGTACCCCAGAGAGCACTGCGGTCCGGGTCGCAAAATCATCTGGCTCTCCCTGGTCCCAAGGACGCCGGGCTAGTTGCAACCAGAGGTCATTTCGGGGGGGATCGCAGGGGAACACCGTTCCCCCGGGTGAGGTGTGGGGGGCGGGGCACACAACGAAGCCCCGCCCCCTGCTTCCAGCCGCCCTGCTTCCGGCCCTCATTCAGCCAGGAGGAGGCAGGAGAAGAGGGAGGGTAAGTTGCTTCCTCCCCGCCTCTCCCCACCCCTGCCTGCCTGGGGCCAAGGAGGGCCTTCGCGGGACTTCCTCTCACTACCGCCGGCCTTGCAGGTCCACCGCCGGGCCCCTGATGTCAGGGGGTGTGGCATATGCTAATGAGTTATGCTAATGAGTTCCCCTAGCTCTTTTTCTACGAAACGACCCCTGGTTGCAACCAAGGCCAGAGCTTTCTTGGTGGCGGCTCCACACTGGTGGAATGAGCTTCTGGAAGAGATCAGGGCCCTGCAGGGCCTTTTACAGTTCCGCAGGGCCCGCAAGACAGAGCTCTTCCACCAGGCCTTTAATTAGGAGCTGCCACTGCGACCATCACTACCACCTATTATCACTATTATCATTAACTTAACAACAGCAGAGGCCTGGTGCCTGGTCTGTTATTGATAATTGTGCTCGCCGACCGAAACTGAGACTGACCAACAAGCCGAGCATCAAGTGAATTTGCAGAATGTATGAGGCCATCTTTTGATGTTATAAGTCAATTGCTAGCACTTTAATAGAATGTAAGTTGGTTTTAATGAATTGTTCGAAGGATTGTTTTTAGACGCTTATGGTATTTATTGTTATTGCGCTTTTATTATGTGAGCCGCCCTGAGCCTGCCATGGCAGGGATGGCGGGGTACAAATTTAAATAAATTAATAAATTAATAAATTAGGAAAAGGATCCATCACATTATAAAAGTCTTCCTGTCTCAGCTTCCTGTCTCAGCCTGGACTCCTAGGGAATATATTTATACAATGTGTTTAAAATAAGTATATGGTTTCCTTTTGCTCTGTATGGTTAAATGCTCACCCCAAAGGTATTTTGTTCATTCACAGAAAGATAATTTTTCAAGACTGTCCTTTGGGATCAAGCTTTGGCGAAACGTGGCTTTCAATTCGCTAGCTCGCCCGTGAAAAAGATGTGGACTTAGAAGAGACGAAGAGGAGAGAAGAAGAGATTGGATTTATACCCCGCCCTTCACTACCCAAAGGTGTCTCAGAGCGTCTTACAAACTCCTTTCCTTTCCCCTCCCCACAACAGACACCCTGTGAGGTAGGTGGGTCTGAGAGAGCTCTGAGAGAAACTGCTCTTTTTCAAGAACAGCTCTTATCAGAACTAGGGCTTGCCCAAGGTCGTCCAGCCAGGTGCAAGTGGAGGAGTGGGGAATCAAACCCAGTTCTCCCGGATTAGTCTGCACACTTTACCACTACACCAAACTGCCTTACACTATTTTCCTGACTACTGGGGGACACAATTGTACGGACAGTGCATAAATATATTCCCTAAGGAGTCCAGGTGCTGAGGCCCATGGACTTTTATAATGTGATGATTCATTTCCTTAATGTACACAACACTTGTTTCTTGAATTAATTTGTAAATTATATGTATTGATGTTTATGTATTGATGAGAACCAGTTTGGTGTAATGGTTAAGAGCGTGGATGCTAATCTGGGAGAACCGGGTTTGATTCCCCCACTCCTCCACTTGCACCTGCTGATGTGACCTTGGGTCAGTCACAAGCTCTGGCACAGCTGTTCCTGAAAGAGCAGTTTGTGTCAGAGTTCTCTCAGCCTCACCCACCTCACAGGGTGTCTGTTGTGGGGAGGGGAAGGTAAAGGAGTTTGTAAGCCGCTCTGAGACTCCTTTGGGTAGTGAAGGGCGGGGTATAAATTCAATCTTTTCTTCTTCTTCTTCTTCCACATGCAGCTGCTGGTGTGACCTTGGCTCAGTCACAAGTTCTCTCAGAGCTGTTCTGGAAAGGGCTGTTCTCTCAGAGCTCTCTCAGCCCCACCTACCTCACAGGGGGTCTGTTGTGGGGAGGGGAAGGGAGATTGTAAACCGCTCTGAGACTCCTTCGGGTAGGGAAGGGCAGGGTATAAATCCAGTCTCTCTTTTTCTTCTCTGATGTCTTATTTCTTGAAGTAATCACTATATACTTTATATAATTTCAATTCGTTGGATTTATAGTTTGCTGCTATACACAGTTGTTGTTGTTGGTTGGTTTCCTATACTGTGTATCTCACTTCCTGTGATATGCCACCTGGAGGCTGCCAACTCTAGTACAGAGGAAGATCAGGATTACCCATCATCATCATCTGCTCCAAGACTCCAGCCAAACTGAATACTGCACCTTTCAGGTGTCCTCTACAAATTAAAAGAGGCCACAAGGCTTACAAATTAGATCCCGGTGACTGAAATACTGTCTTCTTTGGGGCTAAATAACAGAGGCTACGGTGTCTACGGCAGCCAATGTCCAGCTGCATTACTTTTCATCCAGCATTTTGGGGGGAAAAACTCAACCAGCCACTAAGGAACTTCTAAATTTGTTTCCCTTCTACTGTTCACGCTCTAATAATTGCCCCTCAGTGTCCCTTTCTCCCTACAGCAGAAAAACAAACAGGCAATATCCCCACCCCACCCCCAGCATCGGGGCAAAGGAGGTGGGAAGGGAGGCACAATATTAACAGAGAAGCCACGAGAGGGAAACAGGTTAAGAAAAACTCGAGCACCGACATCCTGTTGCTGCTGAAGGCTTAAGAAATTGGAGAAAACCTACAGGCATCATGGGCAGTTCAGACTTGTGTCCACAGCTAAATATGTCCCACCATCACCATGAAAAAACAGTCAAAACAACAACTGGACGGTACACTATGAAATAAACTGATCAGGATTATCCAGTGGAACAGCTTTGGCCGAGTTTTCCCATTTCAAAGAATAGGCCGGACAGTCGCATATGTGAATGGCCATCCCATACAGGCCATCCCTGTACGGTGCTAACCGACTACTACGAGACAGTGAAATACACAAAGCTATAGCAGACCCGCGCTGAACAGGGTTTACCATGTCTCAGTTGGGAAATTCCTGGAGATTTGGGGACAGGAGAATCTAGGGAGGGGAGGGACCTTAGTATAATGCCACAGAGATCACCCTTCAACACTGCCACTGGAGAACTGGTCCATGTAGTCTGAAGACCAGTTGTAATTCCAGGAGAAGTCCAGGACCCATCTGGAGGTCGGCAGCCCTAACTGGCACTGGGGAAAGGGAGACCGCTGGCCTGATTTGGCCCAGGTGGTCTCCAGGTGCTGACCTTGAGGGGACTGGTTGTGGGGGGGGATACACGAGGGAAAGAACCGAACCACGCAGTGCGAAGGTAAGAGGAATCAACACGCCACAAATTAATTACAAGGAGACGGGTTCACGCCAACACTTTTACCTGTTCTGATGCTCTGAGAGGCGGAACGGAGAGAAAGGAAGGCCGAAGAGGCAGCCCGAAACCTCCCCCCTCCCCATCTCTGCTCACCCCCCCTTTTATTTAGCCCTTCTCCCTACCTGTTGACCTTCCCTGAGGCCGAACAACCTCTGAGCTCTCCCCTCTGCTCCAACACTGGCTTCGAGCTGCTCGTCTCCACCCAACAGCTGAAGGCAGAGATAAGGCCTGTGAGGGGCGGGCAAGGGGGGGAGAGAGCCAGACAGATGGGAACCATCTCCCATGTGAGGAGCTGCGTTCGTGGGGAAACGGCAGAAAGGTTTGACAAAATAGGAGCCCAGCGGCATCACAGAGATGAACAGAATTTATCCCGTTGAAGACTTTCGTGAGCCAGCGCTCGCTTCATCAGGTGCATGGAGGGTACCTCAGATGCGTGCAGTGTTGCTGGTAACTAGGTGTACATAACAGCTATGGATTCACACCACATATATCTGACAAAGTGAGCTTTTGACTTAGGAAAGCTCCTGCTGGAATGAATTGCACTTGTTTCCAAGATCTCTGGAGTCTTTTTTTTTTTTAAATAAACATTTTATTGAAATATCAAAATATACACGAACAAACAATAAAATTAGTAATAGCCATCAACGTTCAAAAACAGAGTAAGAACGAATAACAAGTAACCAGTCAAAATAATCAAAGCAATTCAATACCTAGCAATAATTTTAAGATGATCATCAGGAAGGGCTGCTTTGATCTTACTGTGTTTTTCCATATAACCAAGAAATGGGACCTGACATTCCAGATAATCAGAATAGAAGTCCGGATTTTCGGCCAAGGAGATGGGAGTCCGAAATTTTATCCATAATCAGGTATTCCCATAGTTTGCTGAACCACATTTGGGTTGAAGGTTGAGTTTTGTCTTTCCAGTGTTTGGCCACTAAGGTCTTAGCAGCTTCCAACATGTAAGAAATCAGGTCTTTACGAGCCTCAGGGATCTTGGTTCCTTCCCTGAGGTTAAATAACACAAGTTCTGGGTTCAAGGGAATAACATAACCTGTGAAATCCTGAATCAAACGCAAAACATTTGTCCAAACCTGTACCATTATAGGGGCAGGACCACCAACAGTGCAGATACGAACCAGGTCTCTGGAGTGTTTTTTAATTGCTCAATTGGAGCCGTAAGGGGCCTCGGATTAGGGCCATAGAATGGGGGAGGGGAGGTAATTAACCTTTTCCTCCCGTCCCATTTTCAATCTGTCCTTTGGACCTGCTGTTTTGTCCACTGGAGGAAACGTAAGTCACCTGTAACGTCCCCTTCTGCTTGTGCGCCAACAAGAATAAAATGCTCGTGAGGTTGATTTAGGGTTGCCAGAACCCAACTGGCTACCGGCGGGTGATGGGTGGGAAGGCTTGCCATATCCAGGTTTGGCCAATTGGAGCCACGGGGCTCCAATTCCTGGAGATTTGGGAGTGGTGTCTGGGGAGGACAGAGACCTCAGTGGGGTACAGTGCCAGAGAGGCCGCCCCCCAAAGCAGCCATTGTCTTCAGAACTGGTCTCTGTTGTCTGGAGATGAGGTGTAATTCCAGGGGATCCCCAGGTCCCACCTGGAGGCTGGCATCCCTAGCTGGCAGATACAGGTTGGGAGACTCATGGAGGTTTGAGGATGGAGCCTGGGGAGGACAGGGACCTCAGTGGGGCACAGTGCCAGAGTCCACCCTCCACAGCAGCCATTTTCTCCAGGGGGAACTGGTCTCTGTTGTCTGGAGATGAGCTGGAATTCCGGGGGATCCCCAGGTCCCACCTGGAGGCTGGCATCCCTACCTGAGTGGGGAGGGACTGGGGGTATGTTTTGCCTGGAGAAGACGGCAGGGAGTCACAGTTGTGCTCTTCAAACACCCAAAGGCCTGCCGCAAAGAAAAGGGCAAAGACTAATTTCTCTACTGCTCCGGAGGGCAAGACTAGATTTTGCAGGAAAGTTTGAAGAAACTTTCTAATGGCTGGACAATGGAATGGACCAGGGGTCATTTAGTAGAAAAAGAGGTGCAGGAGCTGATTAGCATAACTTATTTTGATATGCCACACACCCCAACATCACCGGAAGTGTGTCAGAAGGCAACACCCACCGCTCAAGCTCCACTGGACTGTTTTGGATTGCTAGCTATTGGAGGGGGGGGGGATGTGGAGCTCTGTCCTCACAGAGGAGGGAGAGCTTGTACCTGAATAAAACTTGGTCTTAAAGGTGCCACTGGACTGTTTTGGATTGCTAGCTATGGAAGTGTGTGTGTGAACATGCAGATCTGCCCTCACAGAGGAGGGAGAGCTTCTACCTGAAGGTGGGCCAGGGGGGACGGCTCCGCAACTTACTTAGCGGCTTCTTGCTCCTCATGGCCCGACTGAGGGCTGCTGGGAGCAGGGGGCAGGGCTTGTTGCATGTGCCCGCCCCCTGGGCTCCTTACTGCCGGAGCTCCGCTCCTGTGCACTCCCGCAGGAAATGACCCCTGGAATGGACTAACAAGGCAGGGCAGCAGGCTCTATCCTCGCAGACATTCATCAACGATGCTCAAGCTTTGGATCACACACAATGTCTGTTTCTAGTTAAAGCCAAAAACAAAATAGCAAACCTTCAGCCCCTTGCTTGCTCAAAAGGCACCTGCTCTTCAAACCCTGGCAAAAGCCCTGGCAAACCGGCTGGCCTCGCAGCACCTCCTGAAGATCTCCAAGGAGGGGGGGGCCCTTCACCCCTTCAGAGAGACCCTTCCACAGAGGCGGGGCCATGACAGAAAAGGCCCCGTTCTCTGGACGATGCCAGAAGGGCCTCTCAAAAGTGGTGGGATACCTAACAGATGGCTGCTTGACAAATGGGAGTTGGCACCTATGGTTGGACAGCCAAGCCGCCACTCGTAGAGCACTTTCCTAGGACTTCAGCCCCATTGAATAGACTCACGTAGGATTCTGAGCAGACTTGCTTGGGATTGCTTCTTGAGACAGAGTCCCATCTTTTTAGATACGTATCTGGGATAACTGCAAAGAGACATTCAGAGAGAGCTGGCCGCAAACATTTCTGGGACACACCCAGTACGTACATGTGCTTGCTGAGATAGGGGGTTCTGCAACCAGCCTCAAGTTTTAGTGAGAAAGTTGGGAGTATACATAAACTCCAGGAAATAAAAAAGGGGTGGGCTCTACATCCAGGCCGTCCGTTCTCCTTGTCCCAAGTTTCTTCAACACATGATGTACTTATGTACCTCCCCTCTCTTAATCCATTAAGAGAGGTACAGAAGTACATAACTGACTACTAATCTTACTGATAATGATTTACTACTAATCTTACTGAACTGTGGAATGAGAAAAGAGCAGGAGTCCAGTAGCACCTTAAACACTAACAAAATTTGTGGCAGGGTATGAAGAAGTGCCAACCTAGCAGTTCAAAAGCAAGAAATTGCAAGTAGATAAATAGGTACCACTTTGGTGGGAAGGTAACAGCGTTCCATGTGCCTTGGCCTCTAGTCATGCCGACCACATGCCCACGGAAACGTCTTTGGACAGCGCTAGCTCTTCAGCTTGGAAATGAAGATGAGCACCGCATCCCTAGAATCAGATATGACTGGCTTTCGAGCCAGGGAAACCTTTACCTTTATGAAGTCGTGAGCAGTGTGACTCACAAAAGCTTATCCCGCCACAAATGTTGTTAGCCTTTAAGGTGCTACTGGACTCTTGCTCTCTTCTACCGCTACACAGACTAACCTATGGTGTGGTGTGAGAATGCAACACATTCCTTCCCTGGGGAGATCCCCCGGAGTACCACTTCCTCGGTATTCAGGACCACATTTTGATGAATTTACTAGCAGCCCAAAACTGTGATATAATTTAAAAACAAAACAAAAACCCATTACAGTATTATATAGATTTTAGTCCTGAAACCCTTCGGGTATATCTATTCGGTGATAGTCAGAGAACTGTATCACATGGAGTAGCAAAATTCTGTGTGATAGCACTCAAAAAGCGGTATCACTTGACGAAGGAAACGTCAGTTGCTGGGAAATAAATTAATGAAACGAGTGTGTTTTTTACACATATATAGAAGAGATTGGATTTATACCCCGCCCTTCACTACCCAAAGGTGTCTCAGAGAGGCTTACAAACTCCTTTCCCTTCCCCTCCCCACAACAGACACCCTGTGAGGTAGGTGGGGCTGAGAGAGCTCTTGACAGAAACTGTTCTTTTTCGAGAACAGCTCTTATCAGAACTATGGCTTGCCCAAGGCCATCCAGCCAGGTGCAAGTGGAGGAGTGGGGAACCAAACCCGGTTCTCCCAGATTAGAGTCCGCGCACTCAACCACTACACCATACTGGCTCTCATATACATATATGAGTGTGTCTTTTACACATATATATATCCCTTATCTTTTATGTATTTATTCATTTTAACTTGTCCTTTTTATCTGTATTTCTTGTGACTGGTCTTATGACCGTAATAAACGTTTGACTTTGAATTTGGGCTTTAAAAAGAAATGCATTTTTGTCGACACTGTAAGCCCTCTCAAGTTCTGTGAGACAGAAAGGCGCCGAATAAATGCTTTCAATACATAAATACGTGGCTATGAAAGCCACGTCACCTTGTACGCAAAGCGAGTGTTTTATCACCCCTGTGCAGGCTGCTATGGTACGCTTGGGAGCAGCGGAGAAAGGGGGCAAGAGAGACCAAGCGATAGCGGGGGGGGGGGGCATGCAGCCAGTAGGCTGTTCAGCCTGGGACTGAGCGGGTGGAGCCCCAGAGACTGGGCTTGCTCCTTTCGACCCACTGGCAGCTCTCAATGCCGACCTCTGCAGCCTCCCCAGAGAACCCACGTGCCTTAAGTACCAATCATATTAAGGGTGGAGCTGGGAAACACCCCTGAAGTAAGTAGGTGACTCAAAAGCAGAGAACCTCTTCCGTATAAGATTCAGTGCAGGGTAAGAAGAGGAGTGGATTGGATTCATGCCCCACCCTTCACTACCCAAAGGTGTCTCAGAGCGGCTTGCAAATTCCTTTCCCTTCCCCTCCCCACAACAGACACCCTGTGAAGAAAAAGAAGAAGAGATTGGATTTAGACCCTGCCCTTCACTACCCGAAGGAGTCGGCTTACAAACTCCTCTCCCTTCCCCTCCCCACAACAGACACCCTGTGAGGTAGGTGGGGCTGAGAAA